AAACCAGCTTGTACTGCTTTCTTTCCATGGCCTAGTTATCCGATTATTATTTAGTTTGAAGCTTTTGCTATATGTGATTCTTTCTTTGAGTCTACTATACCATTATAAGATGTGTTCTTTGTTTAAGCCTAGTAGTATTAGCTTGATGAGATTCCAATTTAATAGGATTCCAAACTCAGTATCAATTAGCTGGTCTATATACATAAGCTGTCTTTTTTTAAGCGATTGTATGAATTTTTTATATAGATGATTGTCATTTAGTTGATTCTTGATAGTAGAGAAGCCTCCTGTCCATTGAATAATATAATAACTTTATATATATATATATATATATTTTAAGATGTAAATGTGGATCTGCAGTGTTTTTATTGATAAGTGCCTTATACCAATTATATATGTAGTGTTAGGACTCATATAAGTCAGTACATTATATACTTCATATAGATTATCCCCTATATACTACCTTACATCCAGCACCCAGAAATCTATTACCTTGAGTGATTTCCTTTGTGACACTAGATGGGAACCTATAGGGTGTAGAAATCCTACCACTAGTTTAAACTACCTAACCTATTGGTTCAGCTTTGTTTAGAGATAACTTAATTAAGGGGGTTAATCCAAGTGTCTTCTCATTTTATCATCAGGCCTTAGATCATATTTCCACCAGCCTGAGGCTTCTTTGTGGAACTGTAACTCTTCTTACCACCTGCGGCTGGTTATTTTTCAAACCAATTAGGCTCTGCATCGGATTGGAATATCTTGGCTAGGGTTCTAACCACCATTGAAAAAAGCAGATCAGGGTTTGGTTAGGATGGGGTACAGCCCAGTCTATACACTCAAACATAAGGAAAGTCTTGATTAAAGAAGTTTAACACATGCCTCTTGGCTTATAATATTGCTCAAATACCATTGGCATGCTTCTGGCGATCATCGTAGCACCATCCGGATGATCGTCACACCTCGACACCTTTTCTGGAGATCACAATCCCAATGTCCTACTGGATCAGTGTGCGAATGACTTCTTATGGGAAACAGGGCTTAACAGGTTATAGCCCCAGATACCATTTTTAATTCGGTTCAACCACCTTCACCTGAAGTTGAACTGGTATCTTGTGATCTGACCTGTAGAGTGTTAACTACTACACTATGGACCCACAGGTCATAACTTTATATTTATTAAATTTATATATAAAGATTAATTTAATAATTAATTAATTAATTTTTTTTTTTTTTTTAAGGGCTAAGTTGCAATACACACATGGATTTTATTGTTAATCAATTAGGACTACAACTATCTATACATGAACAGTCTATTAACTATTGCTAATAATTGATTTTTTTTTAACTTAACTAATTACTTAAATTATATATATATCTTATATATAATTATAAGAAGTTATTATTTATAAGCTGTTATATATATTATTAAACTATATTAGATTTTATTTTATATTGATTTGTTACTATTGACTTGATTTCTAAAAATTTTATATTAAAATTAATATGTTACAATATTCTAATCAAGAATATATTAAGAAAAAATTGAATAAAAAAACTGAAGATAATATTTATTTGACAAATAAAACTCTATAAGAAAACCTTTAAATTTAATTAATTATAAATAGATATATTATTTAATTTACAGATAGTGGACAAAATATTGTGAACACTTAAAAAAAATTTTTTTAAAAAAATTGTACTTAATAATTTTTTTTTTTATAATAAAATTTTAAATATATAATTAAAACAATATATTTATTTAATATCAATATTTTGTTAATCCTCCTTCAGCCACAATATAAGTCGCAATTTGTCGTGGCATACTTGTGATCAACCACTGACATATCAGTGGAGATATGTCATTCCAATATTTTTGAACAATCTAATCCAAATCAGAAAAACTTGCTAGTTTAGCTTTAAAAACCTGTTGTTTAATAATATGCCATAGGTTCTTAATTGGGTTAAGGTCTGGACTTTGAGATGGCCAGTCTATAACCCGAATTTTATTAGAGTTAAGAAACACTGTGGTAATCTTTGCAGTGTGTGGAGTTGCATTGTTGTACTGAAAAATGGAACTGCTGCTGTGAGACCAGTTAGGGATAGTATCAATTTCCAGTAAGAGATGTTCTTTAAGTGTGTTGACATAGGATGCCACTGTAAAAGAAAAAATTTTTTTTCGATTTTATTATTCGCTTTTCTGTTTTCGTTTTCATCTTCATTTTTGTTTTCATTTCCTGTTTCTTTTTTTTTTTTCCTTTTCATTATATTTACCATCCTATATCCTATATATATACTATTTTCTGTTTTTTTTTTCTTTCCCATTTGACCTGTTATTTCATTCATCTTGTTTATCTCATTCATCTCATTTGTCCTGTTTATCTCTCCACCCTTTCTTTTCTATTCCTTATTTATCCTGTCCCACCTCCTTTTATCTATTTTTATACATACCATTTACTGATTTATATAAAGGAACAAGAGAGCTAATCTTAAACTAGGAAAAACAATCCCAATATATTTGACTTGGGCTATATTTGACGGTGGTAACCAAACAATCAAAATTCCATTCTTTTTCTGGCTCACATCAGACTCGACAATTTCATGCTTGCTGAAATTGGATAAACATGAATTCGTCACTCCATAATATTTTTTTAAAATCTTTTGCAATTCATCTTTTGTGGTCACGGTACCAGGCAAGACATTTCGTAAGATTATTGCTTAAAATGTATAGTTTTTTACAGACAATGCAACTTTTAGCTGCTTCTTATGAAGAGCACAATGAATAGTCTTTTCTGATACTTTTTTTTTTGTTTGATTATAATAAAAAAAATTCAATTTAACAATACATAAATGCCAATTTTCAATAGCAAGCTTTTTAAAAATATCATGGTTAACGATTAATGATCGTCTAGTTTTTTTCGCTCGTGATACAGCTGATTCAGTCTTTAGAAACTTGTTAACCACTAAAACTATTACAGATTTTTTGCAACCAACTTAATCTGCAATAGTATGATAGGAATCTTTATTTTTATAGTTATAAATTATGGCTTCTTTTTGTATATCAGTTAGATCTTTTTTAGTAATCATATAAAAATAAAAAAGCGGTTATTATGAAAAATCCAGGAAAAAGAAAAACATCAATAAAATTTTTTTACAATAATAAATTTATTTATTTATAATTTTTTTTTTATTATTTAACATGTAATAAATATATTATAAAAATTTTAATTAATCTTATTAAGTCTAATTTTTTTAAAAAAAATTTTTTTGTGTCCACAATATTTTGTCCACCATCTGTATATTATTTCTTGAACTATTCAAAAACATTTAAGAAATTTATCTTATAGAATTATTGTTATAAATTATTTTAATTATCAGTATTTATTGCTATTTTAATTGTTTTTTAAAATAAATAAATATTGAACTGATTTATTATTAAATTTAAATAGAAAATTTTTAGTAACTTGTAAAAAGAAACATTAGATAATACAGAAAAATAATTACTAAATTATCTTACTTAAAGTAAAAATCTTATATATTTTATAACTTCTAATAATTATTATAATATTAACTGGATAATTGTTGTATTATAACATCTTTTTTAAAAATTACAATTTTAATGCTTTTTGAATTAGTATATAAATTAATTTCTTATAGAAAATAGTACTTAATAGGTTATAGTATCAAATATTATATTAATTCTATTTAACTGCTTTTAACTAAGATTAAACTGATATTTTATAATTTGATTTGTGAAATATTAGTCATTATACTTTAAACCTACAGATCTATTTGTTTAATATTTATAATTATTTTTTTTAATTAATTAATATTAATATTAATGTTTTGATTTAATACTTCATTTTATTTATCTTATTAATTATATATAACTAATAATATATCAATAAGATATTGTAAAATATTAAAGAAATTATATATTTAAAGAACTAAATTTTAATTTTAAATAAAGTAGTTATTGCTAATATTTTTATGATTTTCATATTAAAATTATCTTTATCTTAATAAATACTATCTATTTTATTAAACAAATTTTAGTTATAAAATTTTAAAATTGATATTAGCTCTGAAATAATAAATAATCCTATTTAATTCTTAAAATTCTTTTATTTTTTATTAAAAATTAAAATAAATAAATAAATTTAACTATTTTTATTAATATAAATATTAAAAAATTATATTACATTAAAATAATTTATTAAATTGACTCAGTATAAAGATCACAGTAATAATCTATAATGATTAATAAAATCCGCGCATGTAGCGCAGTTAGCATTCTTTAAAAGATCACAGTAATAAAATATATTAAACTAGTTTAAAATAAATTTATTAAAAAGAAAATTTTAAAATGATTTCTTGTATCAATAATTTAAATTTTTTAAATTATATTAAGACCGGATTTTCAAAAATTTAAAGATGTTACATGATAAAATAAAGTTAAGTGATTATTTATTAAATTATAAAAAAGTAAAGATAATTCCGATTTTTTTGGATCAAACTTTTTAACTAAATTATCGTTTAAAGAGAACTAAAAAACAGTGTATAAATAGATCATCACTTAATCACGATACATTATAGAAATGTGATGATTTTATATTGTTTCCTAAGTGCCTCGATAGAATTCCGAAGGAGGTTTTTCTCATTAACCGTGCGAAAAAGAAACCACAATAAAAATTTACAAAGAAAAATTATTGTACATATGTACAGACGATGTCTTCTATGTATTATTAGCTAGATATAGTGTGTACAAGGTTCAAGATTAAAAAAAATGAAACCTAAAGCAAATGAGATCTAGATGGTCGAGGTAAACATTCAGAAAAAACTATATAGTTACTAGGTGGATACACAGTATCCGGATCTTCTGAAAATTCAAGAATTAAACTAAATGTAATAAAATAAGTCCGATAATTAGAGTTCAACTCAGATTTGTTAATAAATAATAGAAACCCTCTATCTGAGGGCCTCAAAAAACCTGAAAAAAAAACTTAGAGTATACCGTAATTTTCGTCTTGCACTGTACCAACAGATACGGACCTATTGTTACGTCTATTTTTATGATTTTTACTTAAAAGTGAAGTTTTTTCATCTGCATCATCACCACCGTCCTCTTCCTGCAACATCTCCTGAAATTTTATAATTTCTCCAGAAGAGTTCCCAACATTTTGATATATATCCACAGAATTATTGGTCACCGAAAAATCGAGAGTATTATTCTCGGCATATCTGCCAAAAGTCTCTTCGCTTTCATAAAGTTCTGTTAACCCTTCAATATCATGTCCTAATAGCAAACTATCTTCCCCTTCCAGTAAACCTTCTTCGGGAGCGGTATTTCTTCGCCACGATAATACCAGTACCCCACATAGTAATATGCATATACCAACTACGACAAGTAGTATTTGATACCATTTTAATCGGTCCCATTGATTGTAATACACAAGGCCATTAAATATAGTTGAAGCGTTGTAAGTGCAAAAAGAAAGCGGAACTAATATGACCGTATCGCACATTCTTAGCCCTTTGTTAAGGTAATAAAGCTAATTTTGAATTTTCATAATGTTAATATTTTGAAAATAGCAAGAAAGCAAAAACATTCAGCATGATACATAAAATAAAAGAAATACCTGAAGTAAAGCTGTAGCAACCAATATTATTACAATTATCCAACTTAATGGACGGTCAAATTGATTATTGCCATAAATAGTCAAAATTAACAATTCAATACCACTCTTTGCGAATAATAAACTCTGACTAGATATCATTCCTCCAATTACTCCATACGTTATACCAACAATTGTCTGTAGTTTTTTCCAAGGCCATCCGAAGATCGGATCACGCTCATTTCGAGACATTTTATTTAAGAGATATTCCCCATACTTGCTGGCGATGAGGAATAAAATGACCAATAATTCTATGACCGAAAAGTATGCAATGAACGCTGGACGCTTATATAGTTCGATCAAGTCTTCAAGCGAATGTTTTGGTTCATCGACCATACCAAAAAGTGCAATCATAATAGCACCGATTATAATGAAAATCGTTCCTATAAGAAATTGTAAATTTCACTGCTTGAGAAAAGGTTGATATAAACAATGAAGAATATACCAAATATACTATGACAACGATCAAAACTACAAGTAAATAATACACATGTTGAACAAAAAGAAACGAAATAAAACTAACCTATTAATGATCTCTTAGAAAACACGTCACCTAAAAGTAGTTTAGCGAATAAGGCATTGAAGATAAGAGTCACTGCTCCCAAAGGTGCTAATATGATTATTGGAAGATATCCAATCGAGAAAACACTTCCGATTATGTTGGAAACTATATAAGTATCAAAACCCAAATGCCATAGTGGCCTTCTACAAGCTGATCGCCTTAACTCTACGGGATAAATGTTTTCATTTAAAACGTGAGATTTACGTTGTATAGTAAGCCCGAGAGATTGAATAAACGAAGTGGACACCGCTATCGTGATGCCAAGAACGATATTTAACTTTGGCATGGCTTCTAAGTCACTTGAACCGTCGGGCATGTTGAAATTAATGTTAAGTTGAAAACCAATTTAGTTAAAATTACATCGACTGTATAGTAGTTTGAACCAGCAATCTCCAAATAAGTGCCCGAAAAAACAGAAGAAATTAGCAAATATGTGAATTTTAAATGTATCAGAACTTTCTAACCTCCGAACAAGAATTCATACTCCACATAATATATATATATACAATGTGTATGGTAAGGATGAATAAATTTGCCAGGTTATGTGTGTAACAGTAACACGGCAATTAAAGTGCTTTCTTTGTTGTTACACGGATAAAGTCGAATATGACTACCTTTTTGTTGTTCTTTGGGGTCGAAGTTGTCACATCTCGTCACGTACTACCCAAACATTGTGAGTCACGCCAGATTCTCAAACAGTAAGTGATCGAAAAGGAAAAACGGAAATAATGTATAGCTCAGGTGACGAAATTATGTCATATTTTACAAATGGTCAATTAAATTTTCCGATTCCAGGGACGTGACGATTAACCTTTCTCACGAAGGAAATCTATTATAAGTATGGTTGTACAAATCAGAAAATATGCATTGACTTAAAATAAAATATAGAAATATGGTATACCATATAAGGCAGACTAAAAAAAAAATTTTTTTTTTTTCAATCAAATTAAAAGTTCATAATAAAAATATTTAATATATATTAATAATCATTGCTTATTAATGATTAATTATTTTAATAAACATATAAATAATAATAATATATTTAATATTAAATATATTTGTTTTATTTTAATATTTATAACAATAAACTTTAATAATTATATTTACTTTATTATTTTAAATAAATATTATTTACTATATTTATATATTTATTTAACAAATTTTCAATCAAATTTGTAATTTAATAAACAATTAATAATAAATAAAAATAATTATTTTTATTAATAAAAACAAATAATTAAAAATTTTTTAATATTTAGTTATAAAAAAAACAACCAATATATATATATATTTATTAAATTTTAATTTATTATTATTATATTAACAATCTTTAACTTATAAATAAATTAATTATAATCTATTATAATAAAATATATATTTATTTTATATAATAATAAATTTTTTTACTAATTTTTTTATTAATCTAAAAATATATTTACTTTTATTTATTCTTAATAAACTTTTTAAATACTAATTTAAAACAAATAGTTTTTAATACAATATTATAATTTATATAAAAGACAACAATTTTTTTTTTGCAAATAGACATTAAATGCGAGACTTTTTATTAAACGAATGTTTATAGCCATTATATTAAAGATCTTTACATAAGTAAGTTAATTCTAGCTTATTGCAACTTTTCTAACTCAAGTATTAACTTATACCAAGAAGGTGAATTCATACTCAAGCATGGACTACAGAGGGTTTTTTTGTTTTTGTTTTTTTTTTTGCTTGTATTGACCATCACTAGGGTCCCCTATCACTTTTACCTTACAATTCATATATCCGGATATCACAGATTTTATTGCTTTACACTTCCTAGTAAATGCTTCAAGAGTTATTCCTAAAAGATAACAATTTTTTTTTTTTTTTTTTGAGTTTCCCCTCATAGGTAAGTATCATTTTTTTATTTGATATTGTATATAACATGATATATATCATGAAAGAAACAACATCTCTTACGTACATATGTAACAAGTTAAATGCTAGCCTGCCTATGCGAACACATCTAGTTAATACTGAAAAAGAAATTCAAAACAATACTATATACTAGCTGTACCTGAATAGCAGCTATACCTATCTACTCAGGAAATTTTGCGAATTCTTTTAATTTTTTAAATGTAAAAAATTGAAAAAAAAAATGAAAGTAACTATAGCTAGAACTACATTAAGTAAATTATAATCTATAGATAGAAAAGTACTATTTCCTCTCAGAAGCCCCCAGACAGGCTCGTTGTCTCATCTCTCCAGCTCATCGGTTACCATAGATAATAGAGTATACGTGATGTTGTTTGTTGTTATAGTTGTTGGTAGTATGTTAGTTGTTATTGTTATTGTGATCGTTATTGTGGTACAAAACTGGTTTGAGCTTGTTTGAGTTTTGTTTTGATCTTTAAGCGAAATCTGATTGGATGATTGAGGAGCATTGATCATCTGAAGGGGTAAACTGATTTTGGTTTTTTGGATAAAAATTTTTTGGAAAATAAAAATGGCGCAGCAAATATTGCTACGAAAATATTGTGTATGTAGGTTGACTTAGAACAAACAGTAGACCCACTAATTCTATTTATAAATGTGTTTTGGAAAGTATTTGGTTTGGTAAGTATAATAGTGATAATATAAATGGTTTTTATGATATAATAAGGGTAAGGTGGGGTGCAAGAGAACTGAAGAAAAGAGAACTGCCACGGGCCTTTCCTCATGCAACTGAAGAATAAGCAAGACTTCCAAACTTAAATAGACTTCGACCAGAGATCCCATCCCACTGTACCAATTGTCTTAAAGGTTCTTGAGTTCTTGAGCTGGGGCTCACTTGCAATAAAGAGTGTAAACCATTTTTTCTTGCTTAAAATTACCATAAAAAAATTTTTTTAACAAAACAGACATGATCAGGAGAAAATTTTTAATTAGTATTTTAATTGTATTTTAGTAGTTACTGATTCTTATATCCAAAGTGAATTTAATTTCACTAAGTACATTTTTAAATTAATTTTAGACTATCTTAATTTTTTTTCATCCAATGTTGAGTAGGTAATCATTATACATGTTGCTGAAATTTTTAGATCCTTGACGCAATTGATACAATTATTTGACGCAATTAATTGAGTCACTATTAAAACATATAAATAATTGAGTCATGACACAATTATTTTTGAGGATTTTGGGAATTGAGTCAACAGCAAAATAATTTACGCCACATATATAATAATCATAGTTGCTCAAAGCCTCTCGATAAGATATATTATTTTAAAATTTCTTTTCAATATTAGTCTAGTGGTTACTGTAGGCAAGCTAGTACAGTGGATTGCCAAAAGTTTATGGACACTTTTTAAAACCCAGTAAAAAATTTTTTATATGATAAAATATTTATATGTTGACTATATTTAAAATTTTACTTAAATAATCAATATTTTGTTGATCCTTCTCCAACTGCAATGCAAGCTGTAATGTGATGTGGCATACTTTTAATTAATCACTAATAATCTTTTAGACTTATCTCATTCCAATACCTTTTAACATGTTGCTTGAGTTCTGTTAAGTTTTGAAGTTTAGGTTTAACTTTTTTAAGACGACATTTCATTATATGCCAGAGATTTTTAATAGGGTTAAGATCTGAACTTTGCGAAGGCCAATTCATAACCCTAATATTTTTTTCAACAAGAAACTTTTTTGTAATTTTTGTGGTGTACAGTTTTGTATTGTCATGTTGAAACCAAGGCCGACCTGCATCAATCCAATTTGACATGGAAAAATCATAAAGAGTTGGCAAAGAATTTTTTTCAAAAGTTTCGATGTAGGATTTTTCTAAAAAAATGGTAAAAAAAAAAATTAATTCATTTTCTTTTTTTTTTCATTTTCATTTTTTTTCATTTTTACATTTTTTCTTACCTGTAACTGACGTGTCAAGAGAAATGAGAGGGCCCGTGCCGAACTATGAGAAACATCTCCAATGCATTCGACTTGGGCTATGGCTAACTGTAGCAGAAAGACAGTTAATATCCCATTTCTCATGTGAAGTATGCCATACATGGCTTTTTCTTCCTTGTTGAAATTGAGAGAATATTGATTTGTCACTTCAGATTATTTTTTTGAAGTCATGAATAGATCAATTTTTACACTCAAGACACCCGGTAAGCCTTTCTTCAATATTTTTTTCAAAGACAAGGGGTTTAGGATAGGTAACATGAGATTTTAACTTCTCAGAATGTAAAGTTCGACGAATCATCCTTTCGAATACTTTAATTTTTGTTTTTGATGTAAAAAGATTTGTTAATTTTGCATTGCACAAAAACTGATTTTTTTTATTAGTGACAAGTTTTTTAAGAGTGATATAGGCGCAATCATCGAGGAGTCGTAGTTGTCCAGTTCAGGGTCATGGTTCCATAGATTCAGTTTTAATAAACTTGTTTATAATGTTACCCAAAACAGATTTTTTACATCCGACGTAAGCTGCAATAGTATGATATGAATCTTTTCTTTGAAAACCATAAATAATAACCAAATTTTGTTTGGGTATTAGTTCTTTTCTTGCACTCATATTAGCGATTACATGAAATTTAGAGAGAAAAATATAAGATAAATAAAAAAAATTTTTTAATTGGAAATATTAAATAAATATGTAATTACATTTTTATAAAAAAATTAATTATAATTATTAAAATAAATATTGTACAATTAAAAAAATAAAAGTGTCCATAAACTTTTGGCAATCTACTGTATTTAATTCATTATACTATTATATATGAGATATGTTGTTTCTTTCACAATGTATATCTATCACTATACAAATTAAATAAAGAAATAATATTTACCTACAAAAAAATAAATAAATAAATAAAAAAAATATATAATATCTTTGTTTTGAAAAATTCTTTTAGTTTGCTTAAAAAATTTGTAAAACATATATAGTATAATATAATAAGTTTGTACATGACTAGTATTTGTAAAAAGCCTGTTTAGTTGATAGTATATGATTATTTAATAAAAGATAAGAATAGAAGAATTGTGAAAAAAAAATTATGTAATATAATTTTCATTGTTCTCTAATAGCATAACCATTTTCTAATAATATAAAAAAGAAATATAAAATATAAAAAAATAATATATAAATTAGTAAAAAAATAATGGAAAGTTAATAAAGACTTAATTAAATAAAAACATGCCTAAAATTACTCTTTCATTTATTTATCTATTAATGATTAAATGAATCTCTGCCAGAGTTAGTAACTGACTTGTTGTTATACTGTTACAATAGAAAATATTAAAATTTAATACATATTTTTATAATTTGTAAAAATTACAACTATATTTTTAAAA